AATTTATTATATATTTTAATTAACTAAATGTTACTACTTTTATAGGAAATGCAGTTTTATGCGGACGTTTATGTTACGAACTATTACGTTGTTGCAATAGTAAATTAAGTTCCATTAGGCAGGAGTCTTGTGCTTTACTTTATCTTTTAATGAGAAGTAATTTTGAATTTACTAGTAGAAAAGGATTAACCAGAGTTCACTTGCAAGTAAGTGTTTTGTAAATCATTTATTTTTTTTATTAGATTAATCCTAATATTGTTTACTTGTAAACAGGTGATAATATCTGTTTCTCAAATGCTTGGAAACGTTATTGGTTTGAACAATTCAAGGTTTCAAGAATCACTATCGTTAATAAACAGTTATGCTTCATCTGATAAAGTGATGAAGGGTACTGGATTTCCAGTTGAAGTTAAAGATCTTAATAAAAGGATTAGAACTGTTTTAATGGCAACAGCCCAAATGAGAGAACATAACAACGATCCTGAAATGTTGGTAGATTTGCAACATAGTTTGGCTAATTCTTATGCCAGTACACCAGAATTAAGACACACATGGTTAGAAACTATGGCTAGAAATCATGCAAGGGATGGAAATTTTTCAGAGGTATGTATTATGAAATTATTTTTATATATAATGTTTTGTTTTACAATGTTATTTTTTTAGGCCGCTTGTTGTCAATTGCATATTGCCGCATTAATGGCCGAATATTTAAAATTGAGAAAAGTTCACACATGGGGAGCAGAAGCCTTTGATAAAATTTCTGAAAATATTTCTAGGGATGAATGTAGTCTCAAACTTGATGCTGGTGAGATTTGTATGTTTTGCACATGTTTGTATCTTATTTTATGTTCTCATCACTTTTAATTTCCTCTCTTTTACTAAGCTATTTTCTTGTTTGTGCATGTAAAATGTGTATGACCTATTGATAACAGTCAAAATTAAAATCAGTTTTTATCTAATTATAAAATTTTTATTTTTAATATTTTTATTACATGTAATTAGTGACTTAAACATTGTTGCTAGAAGTTTTATGTATATTAGTATATTATTTATACAGATTATTTCTTTCTTTAATGTTTTAATACAATATTTTATAATTATCGACATTATTTTAGGTGTACAAGATATTCATTACAACGAATACCTAATTCTTGAACAATTAGAAGTTTGTGCCGAAATGTTAGAAAAAGCAGAACGATTTGAAGTTCTTGGACATTTGTACAGATTAATAGTTCCTATGTATGAAGAAAAACGAAATTATAATGCTTTAGCAAATTGTTATTCGCATTTAGCACAAGCTTGCAATAAAATTGTCGAAGTTACGAAATCTGGGAAGAGACTTCTGGGACGATTTTATAGGGTTGCATTTTTTGGCTCGGTAAGTATTATTAAAAATAAAAGGCAATGTTTTTTATTATATTATTATAGGATAGCTTGCATTATATTTCACTTTTAGGCATATTTTGAAGATGAAAATGGGCAAGAATATATCTACAAAGAGCCAAAAGTGACATATTTATCAGAAATATCGGAACGCCTACAGCATTTATATTCTGAAAAATTTGGTTCAGAAAACGTTAAAATGATAATGGATTCTGTACCTATTGATGTAACCGAATTAGATCCAAAAATAGCATACATTCAAGTGACGCATGTCACACCATATTTTGAAAAATTCGAATTAGAAACACGGCAAACAGAATTTGAACAAAATCACAATGTTTCGTGTTTTATGTTTGAAACTCCATTCACTACAGAGGGAAAAGCAAGAGGAGGTAGCCCAGAAGAACAATGGAAACGCAGAACAATTCTTACAAGTATATAAAAATAGTATACTATGCTTCAATGCCACGTATTCTAGTAGTTGAAAAACGAATAATGGAACTTACTCCAATTGAAGTTGCTTTAGATGAAATGCGACAGCGTGTCCAAGAACTGGAAGATGTGGCTCTTATAGGTTCAACAGATGTGAAAAAATTGCAATTAAGACTACAAGGAAGTATATGTGTTACAGTAAATGCTGGACCACTTGCATATGCTTCTGCATTTTTGGATCCTGCTTTATCACCACAATATCCGGATGATAAAGTTGAAGAATTAAAAGATGTTTTCAGGTATATTTTCGCTATATATTTTTCACTTAATAAATGTATAAAATTATCATTTTGTTACATAGGTCTTTTACATTAAATTTATTTAATTTTTAGGGAATTTGTCAAAATATGCTATACAGCTCTTCAGATAAATAGTAAATTAATTACATCTGATCAGCATGAATATCAGGAAGTGCTACGCGAGAATTATCAAAAAATTTGTCAAAATTTATCATCATTACTTGGAGAACCTATTTGGCCTGATGAACAAGTTGGAAATTTCAAACGGAATAGTGCTGCTTTATTTAGTGCTATCAGTGGTGCTAGTAATCACACAAGTACAGCCTAATAATGTGGAAGGCAATTAAAACAAAGTCATTTGCAATTGAATTAGCTTTATTTTTAGTGCACTCTCTTGTATAAGTGAATGGTACAAATTGGGTTACATATTAACCCATGATTAATTTGCTTCTGCTCAAAAGCATTTGTGTAATTAATGATGAATTAATGAATACTAACATAACAGTAAGTAAATCTATTACATTTCTACTTAAATTTTTTAATCATTGCAATTAAATTAATTTTTTTTATTATGCTACATATATATTATGTATCATTTTGGTTATTTTATGTTAAAGAATTTTAAATCACAAATAGCAAGTAACTAAATTTATTCTGTTCTATTTAATATAATGGAAATAAGCAGAAATATTTAGAAAGATATATATATGTATTGTCTTTGATCAGCATAAAAGTATTATCTTGAGGCCTAATCACAAAGGTTCTTAATATCCAATCACTGCCATATTTTCGTATATTTAATACATATACAATCTTTTTTAGATAGTTATGTCAATTTAAAATTTATACAGACAGAAAGATAAAATGCAGAAATAATATTTAGATGTTTTATTTCCATGAAGAATTTACTACATTTTTCCAAACTGCAAAATTTGTAACTATTTACATTGACATACGATTTCTATCTATTAAGACTATTATAGATGCATTTAAATCTAGTTCAGTGTAGTATATTTTGGTGTCAAGCACCTAAAGGGGCATTTATATATACATACATATTGTGTAAGAATTCAATGATTTGTATATTAGAATAAGTTAAATGTGTAGAGCTTAATTTGTATATATTTGTATAATTTATTCTATGTATATGTATTATGTAAAGAAGATCTAGCTAGCAATCATTCTATATTTATGCAAATTTTATTATTAACTGAGAAGAGGAGAATAATTCATAGTGTGACAACATTTTAAGAAAGTCAAAAAATTTTATTTTCATATATTTTTTTACGCTTTTTTACTATAAAATTTACTAAAAAATTAAATTGAATTAAAAATACAAGTTTTTATACATAATATTTATATACTATTAATATCTTCCATATGAAATTTTAATAATCGTATCTCCTCATTTTGGTTAATAATATAACAAAATTTTATGGACTATGTACTTAACAAGATACTACTACTTTCCCAATGTGTTTCTCAAAGTATTTGTTTTATTTTATGTTGTGTGTATATCTTCTTTATATAATTTTCTTGTGATAAATTTTTAGGGAATAAT